GCCAGGTCTGACTTTCCGTTCAGTCCCCGGTACCGGGGGTGGGACACAGGTACAAGTCACCAATGTGTTCAGAGTCACAAGTAAAGTGCACGCCCGGAGGGCCAAACCTGGAGACCAAATCCTGGGCCGATATTGAGCCACCCAGCCTTAAAGGTCAGCTCTGCAAACCCAGTTCCTTGCCTTTTTTTTTTTTTTTTTTTAGTACCGGGGATCGAACTCAGGGCCTTGTACTTGTGCTGCAGGCGACAGCACCACGGAGCTAAACCCCTGGCCCTGAGTCTTACTTTTCCACCTATAAAATGGAGATAATCACCATGTCTTCAGTGCAGCAGGAGCGGCGCCACTGAGCTACATCCCCGACCCCCAGTTCCTCTTCCTACTTTTGATAAGGCTGAGCAAAAGCCTGAGCTACAGTTTGAAAAAGGGCTTCTTTTCTGCAGTAGCCCTTATTACACCTGGAGTGGGGGAAACTGAGGCCCAGGGAGGCCCAGTAACAGTCCGGGTGGCTTGTCAGCTGAGACGCCGGAAGGGACACGGACCGGGGCCAGCAATTGGTCACCGTGAGGCTCCGTGGCCTCTCTTTTCTCCATCTCCAAGACGGATGTGAGCTGGCGCGGTGCTGCACAAGAGGCTGAGGCAGGAGGATCCCAGTGAGTTTGAGGTCAGCCTGGGCAACAAGGAGACCCTGTCTCAAAACCAACAAACAAGTAAGCCAAGCAGGTGTAACCAGAGGCCTTTCTCCTGGTTTTACTGAGATAATCAGGGGACATGGAATTGTGCCTGGTTTACACAGAGGCTCTTGCTACTTTCGCGCTGCTGTCCTTTCCTCATCAGCGTAAATCCGAGCAGTCTGGTCTCATTCCCGGGGCAAAGCTTTTTACACGGAGGTCAACCTCGTAGCCAGGTCAACCAACCACAAAGGGCCGGGAATGACGGCCTGGACAAACACACAGCCGCCACTCGACAGGCGGGGCCCCGGGCAGGGCGGAGCCTCCCTTTCCCGGGGACAGGGCGGCAACACACGCAGGAGGCTGATCGCCAGGCTCTGACAGGCCCTGGAGTCCCAACCCGGGCCCACACAGCACAGAACCGCAGTGAGAAGCGAGCTCCGGGATGATGGGGGAAGATGGGCCTTGGGTGGCTCCCCAAGGAACCTGGCTGGCTGGACGCGAGCCTAAGGGGGTCCTGCACGAGGACTAGAACTCAGACCCACCACGGCCCGGGCTCAGGCCCTGGCCCACGTGAAGGCCAGCGACTTCCTCCTTCCGGTCTCACCCGGGCCACGCTGATTGGACAGCAGAGCCACCTGATCACAGGTGGCCCATGGGAAGGCTAGCGTGCAGCCAATGAGCTCCTTGGCCCAGGAACATGCGCACAGGGCCTCCCCAGGTAGGCGGAGAGGATGGCGGAGAGACGTGGCTAGGCGGCAGTCGGGAGAAGGGGAGAAGGGAAGCCAGGAAGGCGAGCTGCTGAAAGGCGAGCCCCTGGGAGCGGCAAGGAGCCCTTCGGGAAATCTGCGAGTCCTTGGACCCCAGCAGACCTGATATATATATATATTTTTTTTTCGCTTTTCTTTTTTTGTACTGGTGATTAGACCCGGGCCTTCCACTGAGCTACACCCCCAGCTCTTTTTTAACTTTTTTTTTTTAAATTTTGAGTCAGGAGCTGGGGATGTAGCTCAGTGGTGCCGCTGCCTGTCTGGCAAGTGCAAGGTCCCGAGTTGGATTCCCGGTACCAAAAAAAAAGATGGAGTCAGGGTCTCACTAAGTTTCCAAGCTACACAGGCTGGGCTTGAACTTGCCATCCTCCTGCCTCAGCCTCCCAGAGTGCTGGGGTCTGCCCCACACTGGGTTTATTTTCCTCATTTTATTTATTAATTTACCATTACTTTTTTTTAGTACTGGAACTTGAACTCAGGACCTTGCACTTGCCAGGCAGGCCTGGCATTATTATTTTTTTTTTTTTTTTGAGACAGGGTCTCACTGTGTAGCTCAGGCTGGTCTCAAACTCAGAGTGATCCTCCTGCCTCAGCCTCCCCATTGTTGGGATTACAGGCGTGCACCACCACACCCAGCTCCAGCTGTTTGTTTTTTGAGACAGGGTCTCACTATGTATCCCAGGCTGGTCTCCAACTCACAGTGATCCTCCTGCCTCAGCCTTCCGAGTGCTGGGATTACAGGTGTGCACCACCACGCCCAGCAGTTCAGGTTGACTTTGAACTCACTGTGTAACCAGGCTGAATATTGCAGCAATCTTTCTGCCTCAGCTTCCCAGTGCTGCGATTATAGGCATGCACCACCACATGCTTGGAAGACCCCGCTGGGCCGGGTGCACCTGGCATCTCCGATGTCCAATCTGGACCATCTCCACTGGGGTGAGGACACTGAGAGCCGAGGCAAAGCCAGGACTGGGCCTGGGTGTCCCTTGTACCCACCCCATCCCAGGCAAGAGACCAGCCAGGGACCCAGGCAGCAGTCCCATCAGCCGCACAGCTGACCAGCAGGCTGGTGCAGGTTTCATGGGTGGACCCAGGACAGCAGCCCAAAGCAGGTGAGGGGGTGCACGCCTGCCATCCCAGCCCTGGAGGCTGAAGCAGGAGGATCACTAGGAGGTCCAGGCCAGCTCAAAAAAAACCAAAAACAAAATAAAGACTAGCTGTCCCAGGGGGGCCTGGAGCACCCAGCAGAGGTGGCCAGGGAGGGGTGGGCCTCCCTGCACTCCTGTGCAAACAGGTTTCTGTTTGTTCGTTGTGGTGCTGGGGACCAAGCCTCAGGCCTTCACACTAAGCCATCTCCCAGGCCCCCTTTATGTTTTACTGTTAGGCTGTCACTAAGTTCCTAAACTTCCCAGCCTGGGTTCAAACTTGTGATCTTCCTGCCTCAGCCTCCCAGATCCAGGGCCGTCCTGAGCCCTGCCCTCTCCTTGGCCTGGGCCTGCGGTTCCCTGAGCTGGCTCACCGCACGCCCCTTACCCGTCTGCCCGATGAGGATCAGGGCGCCACAGCGGCGGCCTTGGCCACCGTGGGCCTTGGCTTCTGATTTCATCCTCCAGGGCTTGGGCTCGGGTGACTCAAGGGGGCCGGGCGGCTGTGGCAAGGCTCCCGCTCTGATGTCATCACTGTCCTCACTGCGACCGCAGCCCTGTGTGACCTCTGTGCCCCACACCTGAAGGTCGGCCTCAGACGCTGTGCAGCCTGGAGCCCCCTGAGCTCCCCACCTCTGCCCCTGCTGTCTCCTCCTCCCTTTTCTCCTCTTGTTTTTAAAAAATTGATTTATTTTTTGAGACAGGGTCTCACTACCGTAGTTCAGGCTGGGCTCCAACTCACAGCTGATCCTCCTGCCTCAGCCTCCTGAGTGCTGGGATGAGAGGCGTGCGCCACCACCTGCAGCAGCCCTTTTCCTCTTCCTCAACCACAAAGGCGACCTCCTAACTAAACTCAACTGCTGCTGACGGGACAGGACTTTCCCTGAAGGGTGCTGTGCTTGTGAGAGCCGGAAGTCGTTATTCCTTCACTCTTTCCGCTGTGCGAGGCGGGCAGGGGCCAAGTGCCAGGCTCAGGAGTCAGACACGGGGGTGCATGCCAGCCCCACCCCGCACCGCCCCGCAGCCAGGACCAGGGACTGTGACTGCCCTCCGTGCCCAGTGCAGGCAGGAGCCTTGGGGGCGGGCGCTGAGCTCCAGGG